CGAGAATGTGTGGTTAAAAAATAGAAAAAGTTTTGGATTTACGAGTAAATTTATTTTATAGGAAGAATGTGTGATAAAAAAAAATGAGCTAGGGGTAAGAGAGTTTTTAAATAATGGAACTCAAACAGGGGCTAAGTGTAGAATTATGAAATTACAAAAAAATTAGCTCACCAAATAATCCAGATGAGCCCAAGTATCAGATTTAATGCATAAAATACCAGTTAATTACAGGTGAAGGCGTGAAGCAATGGGAACCTATCAAAAATGAACTTGTTAATAAAGTAACTTGGACTGTAATTGCTCAGTCCTAGTTCATCCATTCAAGAAAGAACTTCAATTGTTTTTCACTTTCTGATTAAATATAGAGGTATAGTATGGACAATTCAGAAGAAAGCATTAGTAAAATGGAATTATATACCATGACAAAAGGCTGTATAGTTTCATTTTACAATAGAACCAATTTACCGTCAGTTATAAGCTATCGTAAGTGTTATTTGGTTTATACTGCTTAAGGCTGTAATTGGTTTCAGCTAAAAAGCAGGACTCGGGCCTGATGCAGCTTAAAGCATGCTTCCAGACAACCAGTGAATTTTAACATGAATACGAATATGCTGACTATATAATTCATAAAAAATTAGATTCTTTCTTTACCTCTTCTACAACTCATTGAAGTTGTTATTGCTAAAAGTACAAGGAAAAAATTATAGTGTTAGCATAGACAACAAAATAATTGCCTGTGGTGCGTTTTGATTTACAAGAGAGATACAATTCTAATATAAAATGTCAAAAGACGAAGATATAGACCAGTATAAACATGCTTTTACGAATTCACAACAAATTTGTTCCATTATATGCTTCGGTATATGTAGTTTTGGATCGAAATGAGTGACAAATCAATTTAAGTAAGCTGACATAGGATGCAATCAAACAAAAACGAGATTCGTAGAAGGAGAGAGAAGGGATGAGAAGAAAAGGAGAAAGGGGAGAAGATTAGAGAGAAGTGGGGCAAAAACCAGAGAAGCCGAGAGAAGAATATGGGGGAGAACATAATTACAATGCAACAACTCTCTTTATATAGAGTTTAAACTAATCTAATTGAAGTAGAAAACAACTAAAAATACTAGAAAATCTATTGAGTAAAACTCTAATTTCTTTTCCTAATAAGACTCTAAACTTGGAAAGTCTTCATACAACATATTTAGTAGGATCTCCATCAGCCATCCTTGAGTATACGGGGACTGTGGATTATCCTGTGGTTGGTTATGGTATATTTTGGCTCAAAAACTACACAATGGCCATAATTGCTTATTAATGATATGTATGGGCCATAAGTGCTAGGAAAGAAAGATTTTTAAACGAATTCACAGTAAAAGCTAATAAGAAAAATAGCTCTCTTTCTAGTTTTTACTTATGAAAATAGTCTTCTTTGTACTTAAAAAATAATATCTATTTTATCCTTGTTAAACAAAGCACGACCGTCAAAGTATTGGGTGGGGAGTTGGTTCCTTGTCCAACTTGACCGACTCATCAAGTTGGGCAACTTGAGAGAAATTATGGAAAGCAGTCTATGCTTACATCAATTTTACAAGAAAAAAATGCGAGTAAGCATCTTAAGATTGCCTAAGCAATACTTCTATAATTTGAATACTTACCAGCTCCAAAGCCATGGCCAAAACCCACTCCAGAACCAATGCCTGCTTCAAGGTTCTTTGCTCGCAGATTCCTCAACTGGAGATAGGATCAACATGGACAAAGAAATGTCGGAAAACTTGCTACTACGTTACCAAATCATCCAAACAACAGATATTAGGAAAACCTACTGAATTATTGACGTGCCTTCCAACATTAGAAAAAGCATCTGTTGCACCTCGAGTGGCAACCATAACTTGGTTCGGAACTGGTATTGCACCTGATGCACAAATTAGCTTCAAAGTTTGTTATGATGAACAAAAGCGTTTAACCCATATACAAAATCACTGATTTTCTATGACATCATCCTGTTGCATGTCCAAAAAATGAATCAGAGCGATGTTTCCATTTACAAATGGATAAAACGACAATTGGTCACAAAAGAAATGATGAACTTAACCCAAAATCAGATTAAATATGTCCTGACGTCATATAGAAACTATAAACTAAATATAGTTGAGAAATAAAGTTAATCAAACTAATCGTCAAGAATTTCACCATATATTTTATCCACTACTATATAGTTACCAAAGGAAAAATTCGAAATTTCTTACATCCCAAAAACCAATTAATCCTCGTGATATCATAAGCAAATTACAGCCTTCACAGCAATGCAAGCATTCAAACTCCATGAACATGTACCTAAACAAGTTTTAGGATATACTAAACTTGCTCAATCTCATGTTTTCTTTTGTTTGCATTTCGGATTAGTCCTATCTAAGATTCCAATGTCAATCACCCCATTTCTCCAATAGCAAGAAGCAGTTGACCCATGAAAAATGCAAAAATAACCACGATATAGAAGATCAAACACGATGATGTATTAACTAATTAAACATAAAAAACTCCATAAACTTACAATCAAGCAAACTACAGATTTCCACATTATGCCAAATTTCCACCATCATCATAAATCAATTACATGTAATATAAAAACATAAAGTATAACATTTATACATGAATTTTGGCCATTCCCTTCTTTGGGTTTAAATAAACCCCCGAAGTTCATTCTCGTATTTCTTCAATCAGTAGTTACTATTCTAGAGAGACAGATATAGTTGAAGACTGAAGAGCGAAAACTGAAATATGGAAAACTGATTACCTAAATTTATAAGGCGACCAACGCCGATGCCAATGCCACAGCCAATCCCAAAGCCAGTGAATACTTGAAACACTTTCAAAGTAAAAGGATTCTATCCTCATCTCTCTTCTCTTTTGTGAACTTCACTTTCCTTTATTTGGCTCCAAAACTATTCATAACTGATTCGTTTCCTCTATGAGAAGGTACAGAACTAAAGGTGGGGACTGGGAGAGATTCTCCATAATCCTTTTCTTCGTTCCTCTCCCAGTGGCATTGTCGTTAAGAATCTTGTCATCTGGTGCTCTGTTCGGTTGAACGGGTTTTTATTACTTGGGCCTCAACTGTCAGCCCATATACACCGAGAGAATATCAAGCACTAAAAGTTGTGAATAAAACAAAATTTAATCCATAGAAACGTTATTAAACACAATAAATATGAGTTGTAAATGTAGTATGTAAATTATAAACGAAAAACCAGAAATAAAACTAAGAAGGAAAAAGAACAATTCGAGACAAGTGAATTTCACTCTTTTCTTAAAATAAAATTGCTTGCTACGGTGCTTACGGTTCACAACACCATAGTCCCGTAACTCGAGCCTCTGATCGGGTCAGGTAGAATATTTTTATAAATATGCAACTGACTCGGTAAAAATCGAGTTGACTCATTGGGTTGACCAAGTTACCTGACGAGTTTTATATTAACTTGATCGGTTGACTAATGATTCAAAAGTTTGTCCATAAATTTTTGTTCTCTAAAAGAGTTGAACCTTAGATCTCCAAGTTAAATGAGTAACACTTAACCACTAGAGATCAAGTGTTTATTATTATGTATTTGCAATAATTATATATATGTAAATTATTTATAGTTTGCTAAAAATATTTTTAAAAAATTATAGTAACTATTTTGATTAACATAAATTGAATATTTAACAAAATAATATATAAATAATTAATAATAGATAATTTTTTTTCTTTTTGTTTTATCTAAAAAAAACTTTATACTTTAAAAAATATTTTATAATTATTAAGCATTGACCCACCGGTTTAACTACTAACCCACCGATTCGACCAACAACCCGAGACCCGGTGCCTTGATCGGGTCAATGGTCGGGTCGGATTTAATAACTATGCACAACACTGATCTCCCAAGATACAATAGATTTACTTATGGTAGAAGCACTTCAAATCACAAGTTATAGCGAACTTTCGATGGAGTCTCTCTACAAGAAGAAAACAACTTTTGAAGGAATTTGGAAGAGGTTTTGCAAAAGATTTATGTAGTGCTTAATGCAAGTATGACATGGAATATTTAATGAACGTTCAAAATGTCTTATTCATAGAGGATGAGGGGTTACGAACGAAGTGTTGCGTGCCAAACATTGCAATCTTATGAACAAAAAGTATCACTTACTGTTGTTAGCTCGTCGTCGTCAAAATATTTATAAAGACTTTTTTACCTGCCCAATAGTCCATCGACGGAGTTGGGCAATTTTTAGGCCTGTTTTCCTCCATTTTCTTTTCAAATTTGGATCGTAAGTTCTTATTCATCCGGAATTAGTTTTGAGATTTCAAATATATCACGATGATCTACTCAATGAGTATAACAAGTTGATATATTTATATTTGTGATTTGACAATCGGATCAAGTCCGAATATTTGACCGAAATTGACATGAAAGTCACTTTTTTACTTTTGATTTTAACACTTTACCAATTTTTCTTAAATTTCAAACTAATTTCCAACAATCCCCCACATAAATGAAAATTCAAGTATGCATATACAATGCGAAAATATGATGCATTGTAGAGAGTGGAAAACACCACATCAAGTAAAGTAGCTTCCGGTTTTGGCTTCTTCACTTTTAATCTTGAATTTTGCCTCCTTTGATTCTTTAATTCTTCTTCTTGCTCCATAGTCTTGATTGTTGATCATGATTTTGGTCATTGGATCTTCCTCTTCAATATGCTTTCTCTATTAATTATTGTATTCATGGGATGACATAAAGAATGAGAAGTTGCATGTAAATTGGGGATCATAACCTTATATATAGTTTTCATATATATTTCACCCATCATGAATACAATTCTTAAAAAATCTAAACTTTATATATATAATTCGGCTCACATTTTATTTAGATGCCATAAGCCTAAGAATTTAATTATTTATTAGATCACTTTAATTTTAGGTTTAACTTTAAGATAAACTTATACACAATTAATTACTTATGTAGGCCCGCGTGACAAATTAATAAACCCAAAGTATTGTGCCCATGTGGCTAATGGTACATTTTTGACGTTTACCCATGGAAATGAAAAAGGGAATAAATTAAATGCATTTTTGGAGACTTGAACTCGGGCTATTATAGTATTGTAGATTCAGCATAACTCTGCTAGACAGGTTAAAATCCGGTGGAGTTGGAAAAGCTTGAAAATGATCGATTTTCTTCTTCAGTTTGATGGGAATTCCTTATAGTTCAATAGAATGAATTTTACTCATGAAAGGAAGAAGCTCACTCATAGCAAGAGAATTCTCCTGTTGGGTTTTAGTAGGTTTCATTTTTCTCTAGGAACTTGCCCTTATGCAAACGAACCATCTCAATTTTTCAACCCAGAAACTTTATATTAGAATCTATGGTGCTTTTCTTTTCACGTATTGAATCGATATATTCTATTCTAAGAGAGTGTTTGAGCCCTATTTTTATAAAAAAAAATATATATATGTTTTAGAATATTAGATTGATAGGGAATGTATGGTTGAAAAAGAGAAAAAATATATATATATATTTTAAGAAAAATGGAAATCAAACAAAACATAAGTGTGTCAATGAGCATTCTTAACACATTTTTTTAGCCCAATTTTTTCAAAACTCATCTTCAATCATGCATTCTTAGATAAAATATTTTATATATAAATCTAAAATATTTTATATATAAATCTAAAATTTTTTCTTATTTTTAAACATGCATTCTTGAAAAAAAAATCACTATTTAAAAATATATTGTTCCCAAAAAAAAATGGGGTTCAAATAGAGGTTGCCCCTATTTGGACTCTATTTTTTAGAAAATACATTATTTTAAAACTAATTTTCAATCACACATTCTTTTATAAAATAACATTACACGTAATCCTAAAATTTTTCTTATTTTTTAATTATATATTCTTCAAAAAATTATTATTTCAAAATAAATTTTCTCCCGCAATCTCATTTTAATAAAGCTCAAATACGGGGTAAGTCGGCTAATATTGCTTAGAATTGATTTGAAATGAAGTGCGGTTTTGTGTATGCACGAGGAGAGTTGAATGGCTGAAAACCAAATATAGGTCAATGAGATTTTCTCTTTAAAACATTGTGGAATATAAATTTTAACAATAAAATGAACATATTATGAGCTTTTAAATGAGGAGAAAATATACCATTATCCGCCCAAATGGTAATAAGTCCCATTGACCATTGTGTCCTCTATCCATATTTGAAAAGTAGGTTTTACTCAGTAGCGAATCCAGACTTCTGAGTCAGCATGGGCGGCCTTCTATCGTGGCCACAATAAAATATTACGAGCCCATTTGATGCTCTTTTTTTGCAAAAAAAAAATGTATTTTGAAATAGTGATTTGATGGATAAAGTGTTGTTAAAAATAAAGAAAAAGTTTGAATTTGCGTTAATATTATTTCATTGAAAAATGTGTGATTAAAAAGAAGAAAGAAAAAATGTATTTTGAAAAAAAAAATAAGGGGAATGATACAAGACCTAAAAATTAAATAAAACAATTATTTGGTAAATATTAAAAGTATTTACCAAATAATATTGTGGCCAAATTTTGCATAATTCAAAAGAAGAGCAACAATGTTTACATTTGTATTAAAATAACTTGACAAAAATAAGTTTTTTTCACATTATTGCGATAATGGGCTTTTAATATAGATTTTCACGTTATTACCTCAGTTACACTATTTTCTGATGGAGCACTATTCTTTAGAAATTGCAAGTTAATCTATACATTAATAGGTTCGAATATTTACATTTGTATTAAAATCGCTAAAACGTAACATATATTATTCTGTTCAATTTCATGCTCAAATTCAATAAATGTTTCAATGGTTAATCTCCTCATAATGCTGAGAGAACCCAGGTTCGAATCCTCCTCTCGTATTTTCATGAATTTTGGTCAAAATTGTAGAAATAAAAATGTTACACTGTAAATTGGTTGGGGAGGAATTTGATCCCTAGACCTTCAATATGAATTGGCAACCTTCCAACCAACTTAGCCACAAAGAAGAACGCAAGTCATTCGAGTTAGCTATATAAGTTCAAACTTTATCTATCATCAACCCAAAAAATAATTACTTCCGGCGGATCCAACTAGGGCGGCCGCCCTAGCTGGCGGACCCCTGGATCAGCCCCTGGTTTCACTTGTAAGTAAAAAAAGTTTAAAATGATAATTGAAATAGTAAAATAATGATTTAAAAATTAATTTTTTGAAGTGAAAAATTGCTACCAAAGAAAGGTTTAATATTTTCCTTTACATCATATTGTGTAAAACTAATGTGATATGTACACTCATTCCTCTATATTCTTTTTGACGTTGCCTTTGTTTTTTGAAAATTGGGGGCGAAAAACTATTTTTGTTTTTAAATTTTCCAGTGTTGTTTTGTCGTGCGACACAATGTTAAAAAATGTAAAAGTGATGAAAATCTAACATGATTGATTATATAATTCATTATGTATATGTACAATTAGCAAAATTCATGAATTAAAAATGAGTAAATAAAAATTTGCCCAACAAAAACCAAAGAAACAGAGCGAAAGAAAAGTTACTTTCTTCCTTCTACCCACGCTCACTCCATTACTACAACCTGCAATCCAATACCATTTTCCCAAGAATTATAGAATTATCCCACGAATTTGATGCTGTAAATTAGTCCAATTTTTAAATTTGGGAGAGTGAAATTATGAATAAGTTAATTGATTTTGGGAGAAAAGCCATGTTCTACGTTAGGGTTCTTTCGGGATACGAAGAGCGCAGAATCCGATCTTATCGTTTACAGCTCCAACAACGCGTCCAACAGGTTTGTCTCTCTTTTTCTCATTTTTCCACTGCGTTACTTTGACTATTCTATCGTTGTTTATCAACATGAAATGTTATTATTCAATTCAAGAATTGAATAAATTAGTGTAATATAGAAGATGATGTGCTTCAGTGCCTTTCTTTTATGGGGTTTTGGAAAAATATGGAGTATTTGATGGTTAAGGATTGTATTGAATGTAATTTTGCAGGTTCTGTATTTTGAAGTCAATTTAATATACTGTGCGACATCGAGCAAATGTTAAAACCCGATTAGTAACTTCTGTCTGGCTTCAGTTCGAGTTCTCATAAGTTTGATTATTTTCTTGTGACGAATCTTGTCTGTAAATGTACGTGCTAATTTTAATTTTATTCAAACAAATAATAGGATCAAAATAGTTCTATTTGTAAATGAGCTAATTTACAATATAATATTGGGTATCAACCTAAGATATAGGTATAGTTATATTAGTTGATCTGATGCTTGAGATTTTGCTTACACTGAGCCTTCTTATGCATCTCTATTCTTAAATTTGTGTTCCAATGTGCTTAGGCTTTCATTCTTATATCTGACTAGGCACAAGAGAGGAAGGCAGAAATCAGAAAGGTCCCTGAACAGATAATTTTATCAGAGGTGCGGCGGATGGTCGAGGAAATGCAAGCTTTGAATAAGAAGTTAGATGAAACTGTGAGTTTATGTTTCTGATTAAGCTTGCTAAATTTCCCTTTACCGTATGATCAGCCAATTTTGGAACTTGTAATTTATAATTCTTTGGTTATGTCTTATGATTTAACTATGTTACTGGGGAGGGTGTCATTTCTATTTTCACGTGGCGTAATACTCCCATTTCTGGAATTAGGTCATGTCAGTAATATACCTTGCCGTTATATACTGCAAGTCTATAATCAATTGCTTGATTCCACACAGCTAATAATTATCCACTCTTCTGTACTATTTTAATCATTTGAAATTTATTTCTCTCCCAACTTTACTTTATTTCTGCTGGTAATGAATATGTTTTGAGCGCTTTTGTTCTGTAAACCAATAATTATAAATTTTAATTAAAAGAGCTACCCTTTCTTGTTGCCTTAAATAAATGTAATGCATTCTCTTTGAAGAATAATTTTGCCTTCCTGTTGACATATCTGCAATTATGAAATTTGTTATTAAGAAAAGAAAGGCAGTAAAAAATTGTCAATGTTACACACATATATTAATCCTTGTCTCTATTTTATATATTCTTATTCTATGAAGAGTTGTACTTGCCAGCAAAGATCTTTGTCATATGACTTGCAAGATTCTGGTACTGAGTGAAGATTGGCTTTCCTGAGTTTTTGACTCATTAAATCAGGGACATGCGTTTTCACATACAGACTTTCCAACATCTTATCTCGTCTGTAGAATTTGGCTGTTATAAGTTCTGATCTTCTATTAAGGAACTCAATTCTTTACTTATCAACATCTGTGGGAGCAGAAAGTGAAACTTCTTATGGTGCCGTACGATCTAATTACTTGCCAATGAATAAACAAGTGTATTGACTCTCCTTTTAGTTCACCATAATATTGCTTGCTAGTTGCCAATGAAAAGACTACATCGTTCAGGTTCTCCTTTAGCACATCATAAAAAGATTCAAGTGAGTGGGGACTTGAGCTCTCATTAGGCATCATTGTTTATATGTCTGCACCAAATTCTTACCTAGTTAACTTAATTTCTTGCTCCTACGGACTTTAACCAGTAGCCTGGAATTATAGATGAACGTCCTTCCCTTATCAATTTAATGAGTCCTTGTCAAACTCAGTAATATTGCTGTTTATGTGTGCACATATTTGGCTCAACATATTTAGTGTCATTGTTGGGCTGTTCGTCATCTTGAACACAATTAAACAAGCAAATAAATTGGGTTTCTTAATGACTTTTAAGTTCGAACATTTCCAACATTTACAAAGATAGCGATGGTAAGTTCCTGCATCTTCTAACCTTTGCTTTGCTCTGTATTGAATTATTTTATCCAACTTATCATCAAACTCCAATCTTTGAATTTGATTACTACCACAGCAGGAGACCCCTCTAGATTGGCTTAGGTTTTCTCACAAAACCAGTTGATTGTGCTGAAAAATGGGTAATGAATCTTCTTTAATATGAATTTTGATGTATTCTTAAGTGTACAAATACTGTTACTAGATGCACGTGGGGAAAATTCTTACTGCCTTGGAAGATGCCCAGTTAACTTGGCTCTATTATTTCCTTTCTGCCTCCCTTGTTATTGGCTATTGAAAATATGGTTAATCATATTTAGGAGGCTGCCATTGAGGAGTACTTTAAGCCGATTGACAAAGAAGCCGAGATGATAATGAAAGTACAGCTTGAAGGAGAGGAGAAAACGGTGAAGGAGATGATGAGAACCATGCAAAAACAGGCTTTACTCGAGGCAGCTGATGCAGAAAAAATTGGTCGTTTGCAAAATGCAGACGCTGATCTACACAAAGAGGAGAAAACGTCCATAAGCAAGCATACTGAAGTAAGATAATTCTACCCAACTTTTGTTAACTTTTTAACAATCTATTTACGAAAGCGTCGTGCTTTTTCTTCCCCATAGTTACATTTGGTATGGCTACATTTATGAAAACATGATCCATGTTTTTATTTTATTTATTAATATTTTAATTTTGAAGCTGAGAGATTACTACAGGAAGAAAAGTAACGACAGTGACATTGTCAAAAGTTATTCGAGGGTGAATGTCAAAATAGTATTGGATTTTAAGTTTGACTTTATCAATTTGGTAATCTTGTCAATTAAAAATTCTGGATGCTAAACTTAAGAAAATAGTTAAATACGTATGAATAAGTTTACTTAATAATTAAGGCCCTGTTTGGTAGGGATTTTTTGCCCCAAAAAATTGATTTTTTGACCGTTATTTTACTATTCAAGCCGTAATTTTTGACTTCTTCTCTCACATGTGGACTCCACTTTTCTTTTAACGGTCAAAAAATCAATTCTCAAAATTCCTACCAAACGAGCCCTAAGTTTGAGACTAAACGAGTATTTTTATTAATTTTAATTTAAAATAAGTAACTAACTTAATTTTTTACTGTCAGACTGATAAAGAAACGTAAATATATTTAGAAAAGATCACAATGGCATGCTCAAGTCAGTGGTTAACTGTTACCACTTAACTATTTCTTTGTCTAATTCAATGAAGCTTTTCCTTTTAAATGCTACGTAATTTTTATTTTATTTTTTAAGGAAAAAAAATGTAAAGTATCTTTGTAGTTTTAAAAATAAATATTTACGCAAGTAAATTTTCAAGCTTACCCGTACTGTTGTGAGTCAAAGAAAAATTAAAAAATTTCATATTAGTGAATATCGAGTTCAAACAATAATGTTAGAATTGACATTGCGATTATAGTTCTAATATTTGTTTAAAACAATATTAATTAATTTGATTTGAAAATTAATTTTAAAAAGGCAAAATTAAAAAATAGAGACTATGATTTCCTAATCGTTTTAGTTCTAGCTCGGAAGTTCATTTTGTTTTTCAAGAAATATTTATGGATATTGCTTCATCTTAAATTTTTTTTTTAAGTATTGACTATCTAAAACATAAAGTATTTTGTATTTGGGTTTTGCTAAAATAATAGGAGGCTAATAGCCTGCTTGATCGAAACCCCACAATCGAAACCCCACAAATAGGGGGGTCTCGCTCAACCTCCCTGTTGTAATAGCAAAACTCTTTTGTATTTAGAGTGTCTCTTGAAGATACTCTAACAGTTTAAATCTCTCATCCAATACTCGATTGAGCTCAATATTGTTTTTCCCATTTTATGCAACCATGAAATTTTGATTGATTACATTTCATTAAAATAAACAAAAAATAATAATAATTTAGACTCGTGGGTAGATTATGCTCAAATTACGACCTTCTTCCATAAGTTGTCGTTTCGTGCACTTAGTGATGTAAAAGGGCCAACTCATTTACTTCATTTCCCTTCACTAACGCTTAAAACACTCTTCTTTTTTCGATCTTTTTCTACTAATGTAATGTCTTTTATTGCAATGATACTGAGATTATAGTGTTAGCCAATAGTCAGTGCACAATATATATAACTCAGTGGAATAAAAAAAAAAAATATAAAGGAAAAAAAATAGTTATTCATTGGCTAGCTTCAATGTGTTGATATTGCAGATAAGCTAGGCACAAGTTCGGCCCTGAGATTTTGGGAGTCTTAGGCCAATTTCAAATATGAGACCTATATATAAGTAAAAATACATGTAAAATAAAAAATAATAATTTTTTTGAGGTCCTCACCGAAGTGAGACTTTAGGCGATTGCCTACCCTGTCTATAGTCAGGGCCGACATTGGCTAGACAACGGCCCATTGAACTTAGATTTGTCCTCATTAACAAACTTAAATTTGGTTCGGATGTTGCTTTAAAATCATCAAACTCGTTCAAAGTCACGCATTTGCAAATTACATAAGTTTGTCAAATGTACATTTATATGAATGGAAATACAAATACGAGAATTTTAATGTCGAATTTAAAAATTCTTTAAAATGAACTTAATTCGACAATTTAATAAATTTATAGTTTCTTCTTTAAAGAGCTTTTAAGATTAATCCAAACATGATAAAGTTGACTGCGCTCATGTGACAGCTAGGTAACTTAAAAGAAAATTTTACCTAGCTCAGTCACGGAAACAATTGGGGGAGAAAAGAGAAAAAAAAAAAAAATTCTAATTTTATAGTAACTTTGAAAAAAAAAAAAAAAAGACTAAACTAACCAAGCTCAGTCACGTAAACAATGGGAAAAAATAAAAATAAAAAATAAAAAATTTCTAATTTTATAGTAACTTACTAACTTTGGGAAAAAAAAAAAAAAAGACTAAGCTTCCATCATCACATGTCGATCTAGCCTTTAACAATTGAGTAGATTCTCGTGTCCAACTAGGTTATCGCTATAGTATACTAAATCAACATTTAAATCCGTTTCAGATGTCAAATCCAAATACGTTTTCGTTAGTCTCAAGATTAATAACATTCCACGTTTGTTGGAATGTTGCAATTAGTTTTTGGTCAATTAGTTACATAAATAAATAATTAATTTTCTTGGTGATAAAATAAATTTTAGATAAGCAATGAAAATGAGAATATTGGTTCATTGTTTATACCGGAGATTAGGTTCTCTGTCCTAATAAAGACAGCTTATATATGTCTTTTTTATAACCTTTATAATAATAATAATTAAAATAGACACCTTCATTTTATCTAACAGGTAAATTGGACATTCCATCCCCTAACTTTTTCCTTGAGTACAAATCATGGCCCTGACATTTTATGGTCATATTTTATATAGTCGATTCCGAGCTAAACGAGAATAAATTGTCATCCTTATAAGAGCAATTCTATAGAATAGGCTTAAAAACAGACCGCACAAGTGTTAATGCATGATTGGAAACTGAAAAAAAAAAAAAAATCAACAACTTGCTGTCACATCAGTCTGTTTTTTCTTTCTTGTTTATTGGCCTGTCTGTTTATCATTTTCCTCCTGATAATTGTCTCAACTCTTGACAAAAACAAAATTAATCAAATTATTTGCATCTTGTAAAATCTCGATTAAAAATATTAATGAACATGGCATTGTCAAAAGTTGTTCAAAGGTCAATGTCTTACATCAACTTAAAAATATTATTGGATCTTTTTGGATTTAAATTTTTATTGGGCATGAAATATTGTCAATTAAGTTATGAATGCAAAGCTTATGAAACTTAATTATTAAGTTTGAGAATAAAGAGTACTTTTTTTTTAAAGAAATCTAAGTGCGAAATAAGTAAATAATAAATTACTTAATTTATAATTTACGGTCAGAATACATAGAGAAAAACTAAATATATTTAAGAATGATCTTAATCACCCCGTACGTTATCATAGTGGCATGCGCAATTAGTTGATAATTGAAATTTTTCTTTCTCTATTCCATGAAACTTTTCCTTTTCAAATGCCATGTTTGGCTAAGCTTAAAAATATTAATTATATGTTTTTGTGTAAGTAAATTAGTAAGGTTGAAAATGAATATTTTTTGGTTGAGTAGTGTTAAAAACAAGTTATTTATTTTAATAGTGACATCTACTTTAATGTTGAAATGAATAAGTATTTACTTATAAGTAAAAAAAAAAGTAAAGTATCTTCATAATATTAAAAATAAAAATCCACTGAAAAGTAATTTTTCAAGTTTA